GGGGGGGGGGGGGAGAAGAGCCCGCAACGACCCCTCTCACGGGCCGCCCCCGCCCCGCGCCCCCTCAGGGGCTTCCCCGCGCCGCCCTCCCCGCGCACTCACCGGGGCGGCCCGCGCCGCGACCTCCCGCTGCTCCGCGCGGCGCCCGCGCTGCCTCCCGCGCGGCTCGGCGGCGGGAGGCGGGAGGGGAAAGAGGCGGGGGGTTGAAGGGGGGGCGACCGGAGCGGAGTGAGCGCCCGGCGGCCGAGAAACAAGATGGCGGCGGGGCCGTGAGGCGGCGGGGCGGAGGCTCCGCCCTCTTCCCCCCCCCCCCCCGCCTCCACGGGCCGCGGCGGGCGCGTGACCCGGCGGAGATCTCGCGAGAGCGGCGGGGGCGGGAGGGGCAATGGCGGGTGAGGGGAAGGAGCGGGCCCGGTGTGAGGGGAACGGGGAGCGGCCGAGCCTCGAGGGGCGGCCAGACCCTCCCTCTAGGATCAGTCCCTCCTGTCCTACACCCCTGCGGGCCGCGGCTCCGAGGCGTTAGGCCTCTGCCAAGGCCGACTTCCAGGTTTTCCCTTTGTGAAACGAGCAGGAAGCCTGTGGTGTTTCGCCGTGAATTGTGCTTGTAATAAATTGGGTGGTGGATAAATCCATTAAAGATGTTGGATAAAGAGAGTGATGACCCTCAGTGAACTTTCTCCAGGCCAGAATTTGGCATATTCTGGGGAATTTTAAAGGGTTTTTTGGAATGATATAATAATAATAATAATAATAATAATAATAATAATAATAATAATAGCATTTTATTATAATAATAATTTGTAATAGTATATTAATAATAACACCATTAAATAGGTAGTAAGTGGATTGACCCAGTGAATCCTGTTATATAGTTTAACTATATATGCACACAAAAGGAAAATAACTCGTGTCATTCTACATATCTGGTGCACCACGGAGTTCTGGTTGTTCATGTCCTTGGGGGGAAATGTTACTGAAATAAATAGAGAAAGTAATTAGAGATCCTTTCCCTCTCTTTTGAGCAGAGAGTCAAGGCAGCTGCTCTTCAGAAACAGAAATCCAAAGAGAAACAGAACCAAAAAGGGAGAAGGAGCAGGAAGTCCCAGAAATCACTTGAATTACTAACAGATTAGTTGTCTTAATTAATACAGCAGTAAAATAGCAGTTTCCTAGTAGTTTTTTTCCATTTCCAGAGGTTTTTTGCCTCACTGTACAGACGTGTAACAGCAACTCTGCTTCACCAGCGTGTCCCTGGCAACAAAGCTCCTCAGCCCTGCCCTCCCTGAGCCTTTTGGGCTCATCCAGGGACATTTCCAGCCCTGCTGTCCCAGCCCTGGGAGCTGTCCAAGTTCAACCTGGCCGAGCTGTCCAAGGGCTCGGATCCATCAGCACGGGATGACTTTCTCCTGCCACCCTGGAGCCGGTTCAAGCAAAAGTCTGTGCTCTGCTCCAGCCAGCTCTCCCATTCCCAGGGACAGGCAGCTCTCCCATTCCCGGGGATGGCTTTGCTGGCTCCAGGACATGGCACACTGAGGGGTGACTCATCCTGCTTCGGGATTTTTCCCATGAAAAAAAAAAAAAAAATCACTTTTCCTTAGAAGCACCTCCATCTTTGCCTCCTCGTTGTCTTTCCTGTGCCCAAATTGGCATCTAGAAAGGTTTCTTTTTTTATGTAATCCTTAAATCCAGTTTTTCATTAAATAAAATCATCATTTATCACTTCAAACATCTTTTGAGATGGGAAAGTCGGGTCCCACGTGGCTGCTGCACTTCCAGTCACCCTTCCCAAAACTGCTGGGGGCAGTTTCTGGCACAGTGGTTTGCTGTGCTCCCTGTGCAAGAGGATGAAATCCCTCCTGCATCCCTGCAATCCCTGCATCCCAGGGACACAGGGAGCTGGGATCTGTGGTTTCTGTCCCGTGACTTTTGCCCAAATGTAGGAAATGGGACCAAGTTCTGTGGCCGCTGCGCTCTCAGAGCTCGGCTGCTCCGGAGGCTCCGGGCTGGCACTGGAGTGGGAAATGTCTTGCAGCAAATTCCTGCAGTTTTATTGGAAGTCTTGCAACTCAGGGCGCTTGCAAGGCAGCCAAGAGAAATAAAAGTCATAGAATCATGGAGTGCTTTGGGTTGGAAGGGACATTAAGGATCATCCTCTTCCACCCCCTGCCCCGGGCAGGGACACCTTCCACCAGCCCAGGTTGCTGCAAGCCCCATCCAGCCTGGCCTTGGACAATTCCAGGGATGGGGCAGCCTCAGCTTCTCTGGGAAATTCATTCCAGCCCCTCACCACCCTAAATGGCTGCTACAGTTTGGTTTTTTTTTCAATTCCCTAATTTCTGAGCCACCCTCCTATTGCAGCGTCGAGGGTGACAATCCCCAGCACCTCCCTTCAAAATGCCTCGTTTATAGATCAATTAACCAGCCCTGCTGCTGCCAGTGCTGCCAGGCCCAGCTGCCAAACCACCCAGCTGTTCCTCCTGCCAGGATCCAGCCCCACTCCAGGGATTTCTGGACAATCCTCCTCCTCCTCCTCCCACTGGATCCTTTCGTGCCTGTAGCGCTCTGTTTCCTCCCCACCTGCTCCCTCGGCAGCAATGGATCCATTGTCTGGAGCTGCTCAGCTTCCCCAGAAGGATCCCAGCAAACACAGAGCTCCCTGTCAGCCTGCCCAGAACGTGGAGGAGCCAAGGAAAACAAGAAAGAGGAGAAAAAAAAAAAAAAGGAAAGAAGAAAGTGCTTTTCCACTCGGCTTTATCGGCGCTCGCATAAATCTGGTGGTGGTTCGTTGAGTTTGTGCTTCTCCAGCACCTGCCACCTGCTCAGCTGATCCCTCCCACGCTCCCCGAGGGGCTGTGCTGCTCCAACTGCACCCCAGGGCCGGATTTGGGAGGGCTGGATTTGTTTGACGCTGAGGAAAACTGTCTCTCAGAGCAGCAGGGACAGGCCTGGCCCTTCCCAGCTCAGCCCCCGCCGTCCCCCGGGACTCCCGTTCCAGCGGGGCCCTGGACTCATCCCAAACAGGCTGTTGCTCTGGGGCAATAATCCACAGGCAAAGGAAAACCTGGATTTAAATTATTTATGGATATGGACGCGCTGCCTTGTAGATTTTTAGGGAAAAGGAGGCTATTTAGGGCCAGATTTTGGGGCCCATTTTTCCTGACCCTTCGTGCCACATCCCACCTGGTGCCTCTTCTGGTTGGGGAACATCCCTATGATAAATTTCAGGATATTTAATAAGAGTATTTATCTGCCTGGACACAGATTTTTGAAGCCCCTGTAGAAACCTTGTCTCTGCTTTGAAATTAAACCCCAGAAAGATAATTTGACTCAGGAGAGATGATGGTTTGGGTGTTGCCGGAGGATTCTCTGGGAAACCAAAAGGCCTGAGGGATGACAGGGATGATCCAGTGCCAGCCCTGGGGCTGTGGGTCACCTTTTGCACTCAGGTAGTTTGAGGTTTGAACCCAGAACAGAGGTGCTTTTACCTCTTCTGATCCAGAGGGGAGCTCCCAGATGAATCCTGCTCTCCCAGCCCTCCATCCCTGGGGAAGAAATGACAGAAATCAGCAAAAACCCTGAGAGTCAGGAAATCTCTGAACTTCCAGAGCTGCAGATGAGCCACTCTGAGCTGAGATGCTCAGCCCAGCACTAACTGGGAAGCCCCATTCCCAGTATTCCCAGTTCAGCACTGGCAGTGGGGAGAGGATGCAGCTCCCAGCTTGGAGCTGGGATTGGATCCCAGTGACTTTCCCGGTGCCTGCAGCATCCCAGGGAGAAGCAGATGGTGCCCGGGTGCCTCTTGCCTGGCCCAGCACTCTGGCTCTCCCAGTATCCCACTGGTGAGCACACGTGACCCCCCTGCTCCTGCAGGAGGGCGAGAGGAGGTTTTCCAGCCTCTCCACACGGCTCCTTCTCCTGCGGGAAGTGGGACAAGCTGCAGAGCTGACACAGCACCGGCAGCTCATCCCAGTGGGAATGCCCAGCAGGGCCAAGGGGAGGAGCCCCTGTGCCCACCCGGGCTCATCCCACAGCCTGGCACCTTCCCAGGGCTCAGTTATTCCCGGGAATACACACTGGGTTTACCCAGTCCTGGCCTAAACCATCCTCTCCCCATAACCCGTCACGAGGTGCAGCTTCTCCCTCCCCAAATGCCCGGCCCTGGGGCAGCTCCAGGACCTCCTGGGCAACCTCAGAGTCCCCTGGGAAGCTCCAGGATGTCCCGGAGCAGCCCCAGGACCCCTCTGGGAAGACAAGAGAGTCCCCTGGGAAGCTCCAGGATGCCCCAGAGCAGCCCCAAGACCCTCCAGACAGCCCCAGGACCCCCGAAATTCCTACCTCTTCTCTGTGTTTCTGCTGCCCATTCCATCCACCTCTCTCCAGGATGAGCAGGATCCACAGCACGGGAAATGTCCATCCTGTCCCAGGGAAAGGCAGCACGTGGCACCCCCGGGGGCTGCAGATCCCAGGGTCACCCTCACAGGGACACCACGGTTTGGCTCAGCTTACAAAGCCTCTCCCAGGCTTCCCACTATCCCACATCCAGCTCATCCCCATCCACATGCTGCCCATAACCCCTGCAGGGCTGTGAAGCCAAGCCCTGGGAATCCTCTTAAGGGGGTTTTACCGGAATAATCGCATTAAACCACCCCCTTTTCGCCGGCACAAACCCAAAAGGTAAAGGAGAAGGTGGTGAGGAGCCGGCAAAGAGGGTGGAGAGCTGAGCTCCTTAAGGAATTAAGAGACATGAGAGATGGGAGAGCTCTGATGGGATCCCAGCACGAGGCCAAACCTAAGGTTTTGCCCACCCAAGGGATTGGTGCCACAGTCTTGAATCTGCAGGAACAAACCACCCAGTGTGAGGTTGGTGATCCCGGAGCAACCTGCCAAGGGAAGCAGAAAAGCAGGGTCAGGCAAAAAACTTCCAGTGGAACGGAAAACTTCGTCATTATTATTTTATCACTGCCGTGAAACTTCCTGTTTTATCATGGAAATGTGGCAGCTGGAAAAAAAACATAAGGAGAATCTTTTGGCTGGCTGAGGCAGGTGTTTTCACTATCTCTTCCCCCCAGACAATATGTTCCCAGGGCTGACGCTTTCTCCACAAAGCTGGAAGTTTGCTTTGATGGAATACGCTCCCCTATGGAGAGATTTTCGGCTGGTTTTCCTGACTATTCCTCACAAAGGCCCCTCTGGACAACCTCTCTCCTCCCTGAGTTTGTTTATACGCTTTGAACCCTGTTAGGAAACCATCTCCCTACTTCAGCGCTGTTTTATCCAAGTTTCCATATTTAGTTCTTTCAGCTATTCCTGTTCCTCACCAGCTTTCCTGTGCACAACCCGCCACATCCCAGTTTTCCCTGTCCTTCCCCTCCAGCAGCTGCCACAGGGGGAATTTCCCCCCCATCCTCCCTGCACCGATGGATTGAGCACTGTACTCACCCTGGGCACACGATCCCAAATCACTCCCCACACCCCGATCCCAATATCAGGATCTCAGCAAGGGCCGGGTGGTTTCCCACAGCCCCAGGTGCTGGAGGTGGTCCCAGGACCCCCGGCAGGGTGGAAATGGGAAGCCTTTTCCCCCCGGGAAACCCAAGCCTGGCAGTGTTTGAGGATTTGAGGGAGGGACAGAGTTAAAGGCGGTGAAGGAGGGTTTCCTCCCGGCACGTGGCTCCATGTCAGCCGCGGTGCGCAGCCGGCAGAGGCAACGCAGGGAAAAGCACTGGAGGAATTTACCAGGAGTAGAGAGAGACGCTGCTCAGAGGGAAATTAGTGTTTGCATCCAGGGAAGCCAAGGTGAGTCCAAGGGCAGCGCGGGAATCGCTGCCTCCCCGCTCCAAACCCCTCCTTCAGAGGGAACCCGGGCACCGGCAGTGCCCCCTCGGTCCCTGTCCCCCCGGCAGGGCCACGCTCCTGCTCCAGCGGCAGCCGAGGCATCGGAGCCGGGAGATTTGCGTATTCCCAAAGGAGCCCCGCGGCCACCCAGGCTGAGCGGGACGGGCTGGCAGCGCTGCGGGTCTGCCCGGAGCTTCCCGGGGTCCTGGGGGCACTGAGGGCTGGCTCAGGGGTCGGGGGTCTGGATGGGGACACTCGGGGTCAGGGTGACAGCAGGGGGGGGGTGGCCAGCAGCTCTTGGGGTCCAGCTGCGAGAGAAGGGTCAGGTGGCAGCCCTGGAGTCCAACTGGTGGGTGTAGGGTCCAGCTGGAGGTTTTTGGGATCCCTTTGATGGGTGTAGGGTCTGTTCGATGGGTGCAGGGTCCAGTTGGAGGCTCGTGGGGTTTGTTTGATGGGTGCAGGGTCCGACTGATGGGTGCAGGTTCCACCTGCTGGCTCTTGGGGTTCACTTGATGGGTGTAGGATCCAGCTGGTGGTCCTTGAGCTCTGGTTAATGGGTCTAGAGCCCAGTTAATAGGTGTAGGGTCCAGCTGGAGGCTCTTGGGGTCCAACTGATGTGTGTAGGGTCCAGTTAATGCATTTAGAGTCCAATTGATGCGTGTAGGGTCCAGTTAAGGGTCTGGAGTTCAGTTAATGGGTCTAGAGTCCAGTTGACGTGCGTAGGGCGCAGCTGGAGGCTCCTGGGGTCCAATTCATGGATGCAGAGTCCAGTTTATGGGTCCAGGGTCCAGCTGGCAGGTGCAGGATGCTCCCATCCGCCCTCAGGCTCCACCTGATGGATGCAGGGTCCCACCGCCGCCTTTCGGGGTCCGGCCGACAACTCTCCCCGCGCATCCTCCGGGGAGGCACCGGGCAGCCCCGGGCCGCCCCCTCGGTGGGTCCCGGCCCCTCTCCGCGCCGCCCGGGCCGTCGGGGCCGGGCCCGGGGCTCCCCCGCCCGCCGCTCCCAGCAGCCCGCCGGGGCCGAGGGGAGGAGCGGGCACGGGCGGCGGCGGCGGCGGCGGCAGCGGTGAGTGAGTGCCCGCGGGGTGCGGTGCTCCGGGCGCCCGGCACCGCGGCAGCGCCGGTCCCCGCGGCCACCGGGGCCGCACCTGCCCCGCAGCATCCCCCGCCCGCGGCCGGGAAGCGGGAGCGGTGGGTGGGGGGGGTTTTTTTTTGGGGAGGGGGGGGGGGGGGGGAGGATGCCCGTCGCGGATGCGGTGCCGGGGGAGCGGCGGGATGGGCGCTCCGGGAAGGGGGAGGAGGTGGGAAGAGGGGTCCCGACCGCCGTGGGGTGAAACCCGGTGCTTCCCACCCCGCGGCTGCCGGCGAGGCACCCCTAAAACATCGCCCAGGCGCTGAGCGGGGATGTGAACACCCCAGAAACATCGCTGCGCCGAAAGCGAGGGGGCTGCGGCCGCGCTCCCCTCCGTCCCAGCCCGGAGAGCTCCGGTGAACCGGAGCCCTGCCCGGTGCGGGGCGGGCGGGCAGCGCTTCCCGGCCGGCGGCTCGGCAACGGGAGCGCTTTCCCGTGCCATCCATCATCGCCGCTGAAAGCCCGTTGACGTCAAGCCCGTCCCGTGCCCGCCGGTCCCCACGGCCGGGAAAACGGGGAGAGGGACCCGGGAAAGCCGGGAGGGTCCTGCCGAGGCTCTGCCCCCGGGCACCGTCCTCGCCCCGAGCGGCTCAGTGTGCGGCCAGGGCTCACCTCGTCCCGGGCTTCCCGGCGCCTCCAGCCTGGGCTTCGGGTATTGATTCGCCTCTTGCTCCATCCCGGGAGGCTGTTCCACCCTCCGTGGGGTTTGGGGCAGGTGCTCTATAGGGAAATGTGTGAAGGAGCTGGTGAGGGAGAGGGAAACGGTGCCCCGGGATGGGCAGAGAACCCTGCACTGCTCCCTCTTGCTCTGACTGGGGTGACACTGAGTGGGGAGAAGCCCGAGGGCAGCGTGGGCATCACTCATCCCCTGGCACCCCAACGGGCACGGGCCTGGCACCCACCATGTCCCCACCACGTCCCCCTCCTGCTCTGGGCCTCAAAACAGTCCCCAGGGCCACCGTGTGGGAGCTCACGGGTCCCCACGGGAGGTGATGGCTGTGATGGGCTCTGTGCTGGTCAGTGCCCACTCCTGGGGGTCTGGGAAGCACGGCAGGGGGGCTCCCGAGGCTGAATCCCATCACTTGGTGCCCAGGGAGCATCCCATGGGCTGCACTGCTCGTTTCAATAGCTGAGAGTGGGAGGCTGCGGATCCCCCCGAGCCAGGGGTGCAGGGTTGAGCTTGGCTTGCAGGCCAAAGCCAGGCTTTGCTGCCAGGCACAGCAGCCCCAGGGTCCTCCCTGTGCCAAGGGATGTGGGACCACCTGCCCAGCCCATCCCCAGCCCCTTCCCTGGTGGCCCCGTGGCTGCTCTGCACCTTCACCTCCAGCCCCAGTTTGGTGTGTGCCCGTTTCTCTCTGCACCAACACCACCAACACCTCCCTGGAGCCACTCCTGCTGTGCTGGCACTTCTCTCCCCGTGTACCTTCTCCAACATGACATCCTTTGGTGAGGGCAAACTCCTGCCACCTCCCACGGCCCAGCACTCCGAGTTCTTGCTTCTTCGTCCCCGTTCCAGCCCCGTCCTGGCAGCACAGCCTTTGTGGGACAGGGACAGAGGATGAGATTCTGGCGTCTTGGTCTGACCCTTGCTTGGCCCCTTTCACCCCAATTCAGGGGGAAAATCCCCTCCAGCTTCCCTCCCACACACACACACACACCCAGTCCACCCCCCTCGAGCTCTGTGGGCTCTGGCTGCAGCACAGCCCTCCGGGAAGCATCACATGGATACAAGATGCAGTTTAAGGTGATGAAAATCCCCAATTTTCCTGCTTATTAAAACCCAAACCGTGCGGCACCAGCTCCCTGCGTCCCTGTCAACGCGCCGAAAATGTTTTGTCACAGCTTCTCAAAGAGCAGGAAAACAGCCTTGTTAAGGAATTACTGTGAGGTGATTTGGCTCCCATTGACAGCCCTGCTGACACTCTGAGTTCGCTGCCTGAGGGGCTCCTTTCCTGCCCTGGGATGCTGTGTTGGGTGATGGTGGGAGCCCCTCCAGGCTCCTCATCCTTCCCACAGAAAAAGGGGCTCCTGGAGCTGGAGGTCTCAGCCTGAAAATAAGGGAATTGCACCGATTTTGGTTGTTGGGTGGCGGAGCAACGCGAGAGCTTTTGGCCTCATCTTCGGGCATGTCGTGCATCGCCCTCCTCCCCAGCCGTGGCACATGTGGCACCTTGCTGGGATCAGCTCCATCGTCCTCCAGGGATACAGGTGCTGCTGGCACCCCAGGGGTTCTGCCCCAGCTCCCCGTGCCAGGCGGGCTGCAGAGGTGGCAGAGCAGGCGATGGGTGTTTGCCGCAGGCTCCCGCTGCCTCCTGGCACCGCTCCGGCTCTCGGAACTCTTCCTGTGGCAAGCAAGTTTTCTGCTGATCCCTGAAGAAGCTTTGGAATAATAGTGCAGTCTTAGCATTTAAAAAAGCAACTTTTTCTGCAAACAAACCTGCTCCCCCCCGCCGGCTCCTGCTGGGCTCGGGAGCGAGCTGGGACCTGCGGGCTGGATGCGGCTGGGCAGGGAAAATCGGATCCAAGCAGGCAGAGTCTGGGCTGTTGGCAGGTCTTGCTGCTGGATACGGAATTGGGGGGGCAATGGAGGGTGTGGGTGGGTTTGGTCACCCATCCTGGAGCTGCTGGTTTGGCCCTGGGGACACGTTGGGCATCGCTGCAGTGAGCGGGCACGAGCAACCAGGGGTGGAATCTGGTCAGCGCTTGGATTTGAACCTGAGGGGACTCCAGAGCTCTTGGCCCCCGTGGGATATGAAGCCCCTGGAAGGCAGAGGGATATTCACCAGTGCAGAACAGGGAGGGAAGGGGGGGCTGCTGGGTGCTGGCCACCGAGGGAAGGAAATCAGATGTTGTGTGCGTGGAGCGGAGCGCTGGTAGGAGCAGCAGAAAGCCAGGGCTGATAGCAGTCCTTCCCCTGGAGGAAGCAGCTCCATGAAATATTGATGGGATTCACACACGGCAGACGAGCTGTGTGAGCTGCATTGCAGAGCTGGGAGCCGTGCAGCCGGAAAGGCAGCGGCAGCTGGGTAACGGGAAAAGCTCCTTCCCACATCCCCTCCTTCCCACATCCCTCCCTTCCCACATCCCCCTCTTCCCACATCCCCCCCTTCCCACATCCCCTCCCTGCCGGAGGAGATCGGCCCCAGCAGTGCCAGCCCTCGGTGCCCGAGCACCAGGCGAGGGGGGGGTTGGGATCTGAGCAAGGTGATCCCATTCCCAACCCTGTCTCCGGGGGCCACCAAAGACCCTGGGCTGGTTTCTCGCGTCCCTGTTGCCTCCCCATGGAGCTGTCCCAGATTTTGGGGCCACGTGGCTGCTGGGCTCGTGCCTGTCCCTGCTCTGTCCCGAGCCGCCCATCGTGGCCACCACCAGCACCAGGGTGCAGCCAGTGCAGGGGTCCCGAGCTCAGCCTTGGCATCCTGGTCCACTGTGGGATGAGTCCGGACCACCAGGGATGCCCAGTGCTCAGGTCAGTGCCATGAACCCCCGGGGCTCTCCGGCCAGGTGGGCCCAGCAGGACCTGGCTGTCCCCCAGCCTCAGCCCTGCTGGGTGGCTTTTGCTCCTCTGATTCCTTCCTGTTGCCTAGGAAACGATGGGATGCAGCAGGGATCTGATTTGCCCGGGCAGCAGACGTCACACAGGGACAGGGGGGAAAAAGGACAGCGTGGTCAGGGCTGCTGCTGCCTCAGGAGGGGGCTCTGCCCCAGATCCGGCCACCAGGCAGGGTCAGACATGGATGGCCCTGGATTCCTCACCTGTCCCACCCCCAGTGAAAGGTGGTCACAAGGTGGATGGGGGAAGATTCCGTGTTCCTGCCTGTCCTGCTGGGAAATACTTGGTTCCGAGTCCTGGTGCTCCTGGATGGATCCCATCTTCCAGGAGCGTCACTTCTGCTGGAGCTGTGGCAGCCAGGCTGGCTGGAGATGGACATGAGCTTCAGGGATGGGGATGGGAAGTAAATCACTGTGGCTGAGGTGTATCTGGACGTGCTGGCACTGAGGAAGACTCGGGACAGTCGGTTCTCCGGGATCATTTCTCCTTGGACACCCCCACACAGGGCTGTGGCTCCGGTTCCCTCTGGCTCTGGGTCCCACTGGTGTTCCCAGCCCATCCCTGTGCAGGAGCAGCACAGAAGAGAGCACCTGGAGCAGACCCAGCTCCAGCCAGGAATACCATCCCACCGGTTATCCCAGAAGAGATGCGATGCATTGCCTGGGTCCTGGCAGAGCTGATCTCCCTGAAACCACCTCTCCACCCACACCACGACCTCCAGCACTTCCCATCCTGATGGAAAACCTCCGGCTGCTGCAGACAGACCTGCTCCCACCCAAGCACCTGCCTTTTGGGGAATCATCCAGACTGGAATATGCTGTGGGATTTCCCCTCTGAACCTCTCTCATCCAACAGCCAGGCCTTTTCCAGGAGCAGGAGCTGCTCCCGTGGGACCCCTGAGCACAGCCCCATCCAAACCTCTCCCCTCCACTTGTCCTACAGCTGGAGCACATTTGGACCCATCCTTTCATTTCCAGGTTTCTGTTTCCCATGGAGCTGGTGTTCCAGCCAGGATATAACTTTTATATCCTGCCTGAGCCGTGAGATGCTTAATTCCAGTACCTGGAGTTACTTCCAGGTTCTCAGCTCACGTGCACCCAATTATACCCCTTGTTGGGCAATTAAATTTATATGAGCAACTGCCTATCAGAGCTGAAGCATTTAATTAGAATTAAGTACTTTTAGGGGAAATAAGCCCTTGACTTATTCCCAAATACAAGCAGGAGCATGTCCATGTGAGCTGTGCTGCTGGGGCTTGCCCTGATGTGTTGTGCCTGCTCAGGACTGGCAGGGCCTCAAAGTGGAAGCTCTAGAAAGACTTTTTTTTCCCCTTAAAACGCTGATTTTAGGACCTACCTGCTCCAGTCATCAGCAGTTTTCAGTGCTCTCCCTCCAGGCTCGAGGCAGCCCCAGCACAGGGGTCTGGGGGGAAAGAAGAACCTGCTGCCCCACTGCCAGGGGTTTCCAACCCCAAATCTCCCTGGGAACACCCACCCCAAGGGAGGAGACAGCCCCCAAAATCCCTCTGCCTCCTTCCCACCCCCACTGTGCTCATTTATCACCCTCCTCTTCCTCTCCCCACCCCCTGTCAGGATCCCTTTCCCACCTGTGTGGGGGCACCTGCTGGGCTCCTCCCCCCTTCTCCAGAGCCTTTTCCAAAGCACCAATTTTCCCCATCAATATTTTGCCCCTCGTTTCTATTCCCGTGGAATATTTGGGGCCAGGGCTCTCTCACAGCCCCAGGTTGTTCCTTTCCACACCTGGCACTGTTGGATCACTGGGATCCATCCACTCCTGGGGTCACCTCTGACCGACCCCCTCCCTCTCCGTGCTGCCCCCATCCCCACTTTTCCCAGCCCGGCCACCCCCAGCAGCTCCACGACATCTGTCTTCAGGGATTCAGTGGGATCATCAGCCACCCAAAACCTGGCACGGGGTTGCCCCCAGCCCCGCCAGGGCACATCCCACCCCGCTGGACCACTGTGCCCCTGCTCGGGGCTGGCAGGAGAACTGGGTCAGCCGTGTAACCATGGAGATGCTGAGGGAGATGCTGAAGCGGCGCCAGCACAGCCCCGGCTCTCCAGAACCCTGGAAAGATTCCCCAGCCCTGGCACCGTCCGTGTCCGGCCGGGATGGGGCTGGGAAGCTGAGCTGAGCCTCCTCCGGGCGCAGGGCGGTAAGATGCCCCCATCTCCTCTTCTTTTTTTTTTTTTGGGGGGTGCCATGAGCGGGGAGGGCCGAGCCTCGCCGGGGTTCCTGCGCCGCAGCCACGATCCAAACGCAACAGGGAGCCGGTTTTCCTGCTGGTTGTGCTTCCCCCTGCCCTGTGCTGCGTGTCCGGGGGATGCTGCAGCCATGACGCCTCTCCCGGGGGGCTCGGCCGGTGCCCCGGGGGCTCCGCGCATCCCGCAGCCGTCCCAGCCGCGGGGGGAGCCGGGGGCTGGCTCGCTGGAGAACTTCCCGGCGCTGGCGGTGGTGGTTGTTTCCCGCAAGGACGGTGCGTGGTGGCGGTAAGGGCTGCTCCCACCCCGGGAGCTCGGGAACGTGTTCCCACGGCGGGGGAGGAGGGGGCTCGGGTGCGGCGTCGCGGTTGTTTGCTCCGAGAATCCCGGTGGTTTGTGACATAGGGAATAAATATATGGATGGGGGAAGGGGGGGGGGGGTTAGTGTGTGAAGGGAAACCTGGTGCCATTCCCTGAATCCCTGCACGTTTCTGGGGAAAGGGAGCTGGAGCTGAGGCAGCAGCAGGGCTGAGTGTTCATCGTTAGGCTGAGGATGCTGTGGCCATGCCAGGGATGCTGTGGTGGTACCAGGGATGCTGTGGTGGTACCAGGGATGCTGTGGTGGTACCAAGGATGCTGTGGCCATGCTGAGGATGCTGTGGCCATGCCAAGGATGCTGTGGTGGTACCAAGGATCCTGTGGCCATGCTGAGGATGCTGTGGCCATGCCAAGGATGCTGTGGTGGTACCAGGGATGCTGTGGCCGTGCTGAGGATGCTGTGGC